TGTGTGAAACTGACTGCAATCTGACCAATCAGCAGTCTACAGAACTGACAACTTAATTTCAAATCGCTCCTTTTAGTTTAAAAACAGAGTTATTGAAAATAAAAAACAAACAGTACAAATAAATAAGTGTTACTATCTTAATCATATTTTTTTCAATTGTTCAAACAATTATAATTCAATTATCCAATTGTATAAAATGCTCATTAATATAAATATATTCCCGCCCTATAATATTACGTACCAACTTGCTCTTGAAAATAAATCAATTAATACATATCTCACTAAGTTTCTATCATCAATTAACCTACTAATATAATTTGTTTTTAAAAATCATTTTAATAAAGTTTTTGTATATATATTCCTCATTTTGTGGCAAACATACTTAGTCTAATGCCATTCTCTCTCTCACACACACACACACACACACACACACACACACACACACACACACACACACACACACACAACTTCAAATTAAAATTGTACACAGTATAGTGACTTTTTCTTGGATATGTCCTATCAATATCATTTTATACAAAAATACTTTATTTCACATATTATTTTACGGATACATGATAATAATGTTAAAATTAATGTTAAATAAATAATTCTATACCATTTTCAGATATTTATCAAATACCCGTCGTAATAAATCAAATATTATGTTATGCAAATTTCTACATATAAGTGTGGCTGTTGGCTACCACTTACCATCGTTCGTCTATTTCCATTATGCTAACTTATTCTGTTTCACTGAAGAGCAAATTTGTAGGTCGGCTATGTTATAATTAAATTAATTTAATATACGATGAAGGGAAAATTACTAATTCACACGAACGTGATATCTATTTAATGCTATATCTATGATAGTGTTGATATAAGGCATTTAATGCCTGTATGTATAAAAACTGATGGTTAGTTAATCAATCGGTGCGTGTTTAAAGATATCGAATAGAAGTGGATAGAATGGGTAATATTCTACGCACACTGATAAAACTAGCCGTTTTTTTTCAAATAAATGAGTTATTTGTCGAATATTTATTGGTATTAAATTAATATTATTCAAATTAACAGAAATTTATTTGTTTAAAATACCTCAAATGATTTGTTTTTTTTTGTAAATTTACTTGAAAATATATATATTTCAGTTAAATATCGCAGTATTTAAAGTAAATAATTTAGCAGCAAATAATCAAATGACTAATGCCAAATGATAATTTATTTGAATCAAAAAATGTAAAAAACATATTGAACAAATTTAGGAATTAAGTTAAATACATTGTTGTTTTTATTTCAAATATTAATTATTATTAGGTACTAAATAATTAATTATTATTCAGGATTTTTAAATCAAATAACTCTTTCCGGCAAACCTCACACCTGTTATCGTATGATCGCAGTGTTGTCAAATAAATTTCCACACATGCACAAAAAAAATCCATTTTCCCCACACAAAATTTTAATATTTCCACAATTTTTTCCCACTTTTGTTTTCATACATTTCATTTCAAAAAAGATAATTCTTGAACTAGGTACTTTCCAAAAAAAAAAATTGCAAATTTGACAGGTACTTTTAACTAATGTCAGAAGCCACGTTTGGATTAATTTAAGTTTTTGAATAAACAGAAGTGATTGCCGGCGACGTTTTTTTTCCAATTGTATTGGTACCTAAATAAAAAAAATACTCATATGAATCCAACTTTATGAAATACACTGTTAACACATAACGACACATCAGAAAATGAAAAGCAAAGAATAGTAGGTGTAAAGTTGTAGGTAGCGAGAACGCCCAAGATCAATCAAAATCAACGTGGTCGAGCATAATTTCCATATTGTAAGTTTATTTTCATTTTTTTTTTCATTTTTCCCATTTCCATATTTTTGTAGTAAAATTTCCTATAATATGAGAAAATTTCCACAGGTTAGCAACGCTGTATGTAAGGCTTGCTTGGCTTAGGGAGTAGGGAGGGCTTGAGCTTGAGACTAAGAAGAGACAAGCTTAGACAGGAAATGAAGGAAAGCGAATTAGAAATTTGAAGCATAAGCATAATCTACCAATTTCTTTGATTCTTCTCATATTGTTCTGGGTTCTGGGCCTGAAAGTGATAGGTGGATGTTGTGCAGTGAAATTTTAATAAAACATTAAAACCTATTTGCGGATTTATTACGTGTTAGGTGATACCATAGTATTATTACCTTATACCGGTAAAAAATGAACATTCACATGGATATAAAAACACTCTTGGCTAAATGGAAATTAATACATTTATGGGAAATATTTGCTGGTAAGAAAATTTGTAAATTTAGAACATACTTTATTATATATTTAGAATCGATTAGGTATGCTCGTTATTTTTTAGTTTTGTTATAGTTATTAATATTTAGTGAATTATTCAGGTAAAATGTAAAAATAGGTAGGTAATTTTAAACCGGTACTTTTCTAAGAAGCCGTTTGCCCGCCATATTTGCTTCTAACAAATACTTAAATAAATAAAATTATTTAATCTAAATCACCTATATTCAGAATAGGTATATTTGAATAAACATTATTTGAAATAAAAGTACATGTTTACTTATTTTCAATACAAGGCTGGGCGTTGGCTTATTCTTTCATTGAATTTGTTGTTGAATCATTTAAACCGTGAATGTAGGTAAGTGTAGTAAAATTAGATTACATTTATTTTTTTGGTAATATATTATTCTTATATTATTAGTCATGTTACCAGGAATAATTAATTATCATCGAGTTGTACACATATTACCTATATAGGGTGGTTTAGTTAGTAATCGGCCACTTTAGAAGTCATTCAAATTGAATAATAAATTGCTAAAGTGTTTTTCAACTCAGGATACTAATTCTGAGATAGTAAGAAAGCATAACTAATATAGGTACTATTATGTGTTTACAGAAAAAATTATGCAATTAAGAGAATACTTTTCGTTAATTTTTTGATAAAAATATTCGGTTGGGGTTCCACTCTGGGGGCTAGGGCCGAGATATTGAGACCAAACCTGGTATATGGATGTATTATCCCATAAAAATTAAAATCACATTAAAATCGCATTAAAATTCACCCCCACTCCCTATCTGATATGGTGGGAGTGGCATCCCTAAAAAATCAAGTTAAAACTTTTTAAATAAAACATTTGAAATCTACGATTTTTTATACATAAAAACCCAAAATTTCAATTTTTTTGATAAATTTTACCTGAGCCATCAGTTCGGATGTGGGGGCTGGCATTTAAAAATAGTTACAGAGGACATAAAAATCTTATTTTTGGCATATTTACAATAGAAATGATTTGCAACATCTTACCACTACCAACCACTAGAGATAGATGGAGGAGGTGGCATCCCTAATAAAGCAAGTTAGAACTTTTTAAATAAAACAGTTAAAATCTACGATTTTTTATATATACAAACAAACTTGATTTTGTGGGGATGCCTCTCCCTCTAGGGGTTGGTAGTGGTAAGATTTGTACACAAAAATGTTGCAAATCATTTCTATTGTAAATATGCCAAAAATAAGATTTTTGTCTTCTGTAACTATTTTTAAATGCCAGCCCCCACATCCGAACTATGACGGTTCAGGTCGAAATTTTTTCTAAGTCGAAGATTTCAACTGTTTTATTTAAAAAGTTCTTACTTGATTTTTTGGGGATGGCACCCCCCACCATATCAGATAGGGGTGGGGGGTAAATATTTATTTGATTTTTGTTTTTTAAGAATATATGATGAAATAAATATTTATTTGATTTTTGCTTGCAAGAAAGTACGATGAAATAAATATTTATTTGATTTTTGCTTGCAAAAGAGTATAATGAAATAAATATTTATTTGATTTTTGTTCTTAAAAATTTTTTATGAAATAAATATTTATTTGATTTTGCCAACATGTGCTAATTATTAAATACATATTTATTTATAGGACATTTAAAGCAAATAAATATTTCGTTGAGTTTTGTTTTGTGGTAGTAGAGTGAAATAATTATTTGTTTGAATTTTCCAATAGATAAATAAATTTAAATAAATATTTATTTGTTTGTGATTTGAAGCAAATAAATATGTCTTTGAATTTTACACTTGAATGGATTTGAGGAAATAAATAAATGTTTGATGTTTCCACAAAGTGAATAAGATTAAATAAATGTTTATTTATATGACATTCATAGCAAATAATTATTTGTTTAATTTTTTCAGTTAGTAATTAGGACAAGTATGTATTTGTTTGATTTTGACTAGTAGTTTATTATAATGGAATATCGATTTATTTATCTCAAATTATTTAAGGGTACACATGGCAAAAAAATCCTTAAAATTTATCAAATAAATATAAGTTTGGACCATAGGAAACAAATATTTATTTGAGTAAAAAGATATTTTTTTTAATACAAATAAATAATTTTATCAGTGCACATACAACAAAACGAAAAAATAGGCCATTGCGTTTAATTGAACAAATATATTTTATAACCATTCTACCTAATAAGAACATTGCATGGATATAAAATGCACCAATGAAAGAGGTTTATGGTTTGTTATTGGTTATGCAGGATATAAAGGTGGATTTCTACCTGGCGCCGCGCATGTTTTCTCGGCAAATAAGAACATTAGCGTTTATCATGAAGAAATGATCGCCGACTATTTTGAGCAATTGTTTGAATAGTCGCTCATTCTTAACTTAACCAAAAATGGACAAAAGAACGTTGTTGTTATGGATAACGCTTCGTATAATTCCCGTAAATTTAGTTTATCAGCTATTTCCTGACGGTTTTCAACTAAATGGACAAAACAAAAACAAAACAAAAACTTGTGTCAAGAAAAACAAAACTACAACTTTTCTCAAACTTTTTGAAGACTGGCTTGTTTTGCGACAATTGGAGTTTTGTTTCGGGAGCGGTAATATCAAAAGGTTTTGACATATTTTAAAACTCGAGTCTGTTTACTGGAAAGGGTCGTGATGTGTAGTCCATATTTAGTTCCAAATTAATACCTATAGGTAAGTAAATAACGAATTTATATATAGATAAGTAATTCGATCAGTATAAATCTTAATAACTGGTTATGAAAGCGAGCCTTTATTGTCTAAAATCATAATATTTGACTTATTTGACAGACGAAAAAATAATCACTATTGAAACAATATTCATTTACAACTTTATATTTATAGATACAATAATTTTATGAATGATAAAGCGGCTCCATTCGTCCAACCAAATCCAGTCTGTACAGTATATTCACCGCCGCCACCATATTGTCCAGAAACAGATGCGTCATATTTTTCAAACATTTCGGAAGTAGTTCGAAATCCTGTTATATAAGCATCCAATGAATAAATAGCATATAGCCGGGCTTTTTCAATTCCTGCTGGAATTTTCGTATTTAGTAAACCAGTGACGATCATATCTTGTAATGGTGGCCAAGCATTTGGATAATCCCACTGCTGACCTGTTTGTAATAACGATGTCGGAATTCCACCTTTAAAAGAATCTATATTATTTTTATCTAAATATTCAATAGCACGGCGTCCGTAGTATTCCTTCATATGAGGTTCAAAAGATTCTGTAAATAATGGAGATAAGTTACTAGGGAAAAATCCTCTTCTAGGTTTCGATAGATTAATATCCCAATCGTACCAAGTGCCGTCTTTAGAATCATAAAGGACCCGTGAAATTCCATCCATCCATACCTGTTCTCTTTTCCGCCATTTTTTTGATTGCCAAGCATTACCAAGCATCTTGTAAAATCTTGAAATTTGACCAAAGCCTCCACAAAGGAAAGCATTTAAATCTACTGGAACAATTCCAATGACATCTATATCTTCAAGTTTTAAAGAGATACTTCCATCTGATCCAACCAGCCATCTTGATGAGAAATCCCAACCAGATTCTGCTCCACTTTTGAGATTTTTGTAACATTTTATCTGAAAAATAATACATAAACGTTTAGAAATAATATATTGTTTAAGAATTATTACTCTGAACCCTTTGTCTTATAGTTTCACAGGAGAATCATAGCAGGTATATTCTTTAACACTACCACTACCACCATCGTATAAGTAACTAGCGTACGGTACGCATTAAGCTACGGTTTGTTAGAACCATAGATAAATTAATATGTAAGATAAATCGTTTAAATGCGCGGCATCACTAACAGGTATTTAGGAGTTTAGTTTCTCAGCATACTATTTGGAGCCGCCATCGCAATATGCTAGGTCGGTGTGATGTAATTTTGGTTCCACCGACATTTAATTCTAACCAAACTTAAAAAAAAAAAAACATCAATAAATTTGACGTATACGTTTTTACTGTTTTTAGTTTATTTTTAAATATTGTTTACAGGTTATAAAAATAGGGTTGTCAACCATCCTGCATTTCGGTGGACGTCAACCATTGTCCAGTGTCCTTCAACAACCTATTGTCGGACGCTTATTGTACTTAATTTCAGTTTTACTAATAATATCTCAAATTTTATATATTTTCTTGCATCGTCGCTCATTTTGCAATTTGTATTTTATATATTTGGGTCCAATGCTGACGCTGAATGGATTTTTTCAATGTGTTCAGCTTCGTGTGCCGACGTGCTTAATCAGTTTTTCAATAAACCCATGTATGCCGAATTTCAAATAAAGATTTTTTGTAAAAGGTAACAAGAAATTAATAGTAGCTGCAAAAAGTCCTTTTTAAATAAAATGTTTAATCATTAGTTCCTTTTTTCCATTCATCTAAAGAATCCTTGTTTTTTTATTACTTTATTTTTTTGTCGAATTGTTTATTTTTAGGTTTTATCTTTTTTGCAATATCTCATAAAAATGTCCAGAATTTATACCGTATGTCAATTTTTATTATCCTCGTCCAGAAAAATTAAATAACAAAATTGGCAACACTGCATAAAAAATAGTTTAAAGGTATGTAATTGGTAACTAAATGATTGTATATTTGATGCATGTTATCTACTTACTTTGGAATATATTTATAAAAGTGAAGAAACGATAATAATTTAGGTAAACAAAACGAACAAAACGCACTCAAAAAATCTACTGTCACTTTGTCAGTAGAACCATAAATACATCATCACTGAACTAGCGTATAAGATGAAAGCGATGTTGCCAGTTTCCATAAACTTTCATGAGACTAGAATTATTTGAAACACCTTATTTTGTTTTTTGTCAAGCTCGTTACCATCCATACAATGGCATACTATTGCATACTATTGATGGGATATTTTAAAGAGAGGTTTGACAACATTGTAAAAATTAAAAGCGGAATGACAGGCGGAAAGCGAAATGGGCAAATTACAATTAATATAAATAAATAAAAGTTATTTTATGATGTACGTTCCATAGGTAGGTAAGTTATTTTTAGGTTAAGAAGATTTATAAGTGATGATTTAATGTAATTAGTAAGTATTAACAATTTAATTTAATATTAGGTGTTAATTTGTTTAAGGATTTTGTTTATCATTGTTTTCTTAGCCTTAATTAAAAATAGGTAATTTCATTTTCAATCTATTTTCAATTCTTTTTTTAATATTTTTGTAACAATATCAAAACATGTCTGACCCGAATAAGACATCAAAGGGTAAAGCAAACCTTACCCTGGTGAGAGGGCTTGCAATCTTTAATTATTATTATTACAGAATTTAAAGGATATCCTTTTGTTGTCTGTCAACAATTAAATTCTAATTTGTTAGATCAACTAGAACAGATTTGTTTTAAAGGTAAAATAAAATTCAAATTAACTATTGCACTATGAGAAATATTTTTTTTTATAAACTAATTTTAGTCTAATTAAAATTAACTTGTGCTTATATGAATTGGCAACATTTTGATAAGAGAAATTTTTTAATAAGTTATGTACACTTTTTTTGTTCTTATAGAAAACGCCCAGAGAAAACACCTAACAACTGCATCGAAAATTGGTTCATTTTCCAAGAATGAGAGGAGACTACTATTAATGTCACTTACAATTATTTTTATTTAATATTGAGTACATGTTATGCATGTAATAAACGTTTAAATGCACCTTACTTATAATGAATAAACTATACCAGTGTTTCAAGTATTTTAGTATAAATATTTCTTAATTAATATTTTTTTGAAGTTTTAATACTTTAAAAAACTAATATTTATGTAAAATGTTTTTTTTGAGTATTGAATTCCAAAAAATGTAAATAAATAATAAAGTACATTTGAATGAACCGCGGGAAAACTAGACACTCTTCTTTGTATTTTTTTCTTTTTCTCTGCTGCCTTTAACTATCAAGCCAACCAGCCAATTGTGTAATGTGCGATGGTGGCTCTAAATAGTATGCTGAGGAACTAAAACGTGTTATAATGTAAACGATTTATCTTGCATATTAATTTATCTATGGTTAGAACAGTGTGTGGGGCAAAATCCATAATCTGCTGAACGCTGCGCACGTCCGCTAAAATCTAATAATATTAATACTATGGAAATGGTTTGTTACAGTCAGCACAGTTAGGCAGGCAGTAATGTACGACTGGCATTATTAGTGTTAGATTTCAGCGGACAAGCGCAGCGTTCAGCAGACTGTGAGTTTTGCGTCGCGCACTGTTCTAACACATTGTATCTTTAAACTGACTCAGAGTGAATTAAAAGAATCATTACGCATTGTGCTGTATTAGTAGTAGTGTTATTAAAAATAAGTAGGTATTTTAAATAGTGTATAAGGTGGTGTTTAATAGAAACGTCTAGAGAAAGAATGGTTCTTATACTCCTATTAAGAGTAAGAATTTAAGAATAATTGGTCTTGTTCTTGTGTTTTACACTGAATTTCTTGGTTGTTTCATACAAAATTTTTGTTTGATTTGTGGACTTTCCGTCTTTAAATATAGATAGTTGGGTGGCCTTTTCCTTTTTTTAAAGAAGGGGGTCTTCATTTGTTTGGCTTTATTCTGGCTTTTTTCGTACCTTCCTTCTTCTTTCCTCGTCTGGTTCAAAGTCTGAGTTAGGTACTGTGTGTTTGGCTTTTTCTTCTAAGAGTGTATGGAATCTGGACAGTTTCTTGTAAGATTGGAGACACCAACACGGCAGCGTTAATAACTTGAACATCCATCCCTTTATCTTTAGAAATATTGGCGTGTTCGTACATTTTTTTTTTGGGGAAGAAAGAGGCTCCTTGGAGAGAATTTATTAACTGCTTGGGACCCAGAGGTTTTTATTTTGTTTTTGTCCTCGGAACAGGAGGTTACATCATCGTTCCCTTGGCAGCTAAGGATCGACGTATTGTCTTAATAATTAACTTTCCTTTATTTGTTATGTTGTTCGCCTCACTTTTATTTACCACACATTTTTACACGTAATTTTCTTCTCATTTTAAATGTAAAAATCAAGTATGCCTATGATTTTTTAAAAACAAATATTAGAGTAATATTTAAGGAACAAAAATAATTACCTTTTCATAATAGTCGAACGCTCTACAAGTTTCGATATCTTCCGAATATGACTCTGGTCTTGGTGTTCCACTTTTCACCGAATATTGGGCTAGTCTGTATTCAGTTCCTTGTTTCTTAACCGTTACGGCTCGGTTTTGCAGCCACCATAGCAGCTCAGTTTCAATGGCATCAATATTTTTCTTCACCCATTTTTTGTCGTTGGTGTAATTGAAATAGATGCCTACCATTGCTGATAAAAGAGGAGGTTGTGATCGGTTTAGATAGTAAACTCTTGTACCATTGGGAATAAAACCAAACCTATGAAAAGCGGATTAAAATTGAGTTCCAGTAAAACAATCGTATAAGATTAGAAATAATTTAAAAAACTACTCTGGGAAGAAAAAAATATGATTTTACGTTCAGTAATGTAGTTGTGATTTTCATTTACTTCACTTTAGTAGGGGGCTTAACGTTATTTAAATCTAAATTACAAAGTTGATTTATATCGTAACTGAACATTTCACATAACCTTAACTGAAGAAAATGTAGAGTTCGACAATAAATGTAATTTGGACGTAAGAAGTATTTAGTTAATTACAGCCTTTCTAGTTACTGGGACATGTGAGAACCAGGGACCAGAAGCTTCTTTAATAATATATGCATCCATCATGTCCTGTATCATATTTTCTACTTCTGTCTGTTCAGCAAATGGGAGACTTTTAGATGCTTGCCATATTGTGCCTTGCTTAGCTAAAAGGTTCTATCCAACATGAGAAAAGTTTTAAGCTAATAATGATTTTGTTTTTATATTGTCCACTGTGTAAATATTAGGACGAAATTGAACGTAAAAAATAAGTAGTTTATATGGTGGTAAGAACGTTTTTGCGTAGAAAAACATTGTAGATGCATATCTGCATCACAAATATGCCTCTAACTCACAAACTAAAATTTTTTCAAAAGAACGTCGATAGGACATTTTAGCTAAGCAGGGCAGTATTGGCCTTTCATCGCTGGACAAGACTGGTATGCTCTGTAGATTTTCCTATTTCAAAAATTTCACAGTTGGTGTTGATAAATTCTTCGAATTTTCTAAGTTCTTTAGCTGTCAGATGGTCATAATTTTTAAATAGCCGTTTCACAAAGATGGCGTCAACTAAATTACTTGTGGTGGTTTTCCCCGTAGAACCGCTTTCGCACTTGATTACGTTTTCTACTGGCGTACAGAGCCCTATCAGTTGATTTACGTTAACGAGATATCTAGCTACCAGAATTTCTTTACTTACAGATTCTTCACTTTCTACAATGCTCACATGTAAGCTGTGCAATTTCTCGCTGTCTCGCCGAGACGACAGTTTCAGAATTTTCAGGTACTTCTATATTTTCTTCCACTAGGACCTTTAACTGAGTCTTTTCTCCTGAATTTAGAACAATTTCCTCGTTTTCGATTACCAAAATCTTATTTTGAAGGTCGATGATAAACTTATTTTGCATACCGAGGACACACTGATCCTTAGTATCGGTCACCAGAAATAAGTGTTGTATCAGGGTAGTACCACGTTGTATGCTTGCTGATATCTCGCCTTGAACAGGAGTAGTGTGCTCTGTAGCTGTTTCCAGTTTCGAGTTGGTCGTGGTTTTCGATGCAAGATTCCTGTGCATTAAAGTAGGAATGTGCCTTCTTGGTTATCGATATACACCTTGACCAATAGATTTTGTTCGTTTTTAATAAAGATATAAATGCGAATTTTGGGTTCCTCTGTTACAGCCGATGCCTGCCCCGTAATATCGACCTTTATTTGTTTTCCTGATTATTGCTAGAAAACCGGCTAAGTGTGGTTGACCGGCTCTCCGGGAGGCCGGTCTAGGACGTTTCGACGCGGCCATTTCGGCGCAGCCGTTACGACGCGTCCGTTTCGACGCGAGGGCATTTCGACGCCGGCCGTTTCGACGCCGGGCCGTTTCGACGCCAACTGTATTTTTTCAAGTAGGTAATAATTCATACAAAATTATATATTTGAAATGTCTTTTTACTTTCCTATCTGTATACAGATATAAGGAAAGTATAGGAATCATGATTTTTTTCGACCTCGAGTTTTCGACGGATTTTTACGTTTTGAGGTCCCCTAAATGATGTCTGTGTGTGTGTGTGTCTGTGTGTCTGTGTGTGTGTGTGTGTGTGTGTGTGTGTCTGTATAACGCATAACTCATGAACCGATACACAGAAAAACACCAAATTTTAAACTTAAGCTTTGTTTCAGCGTCCAATGAGCTGATTAGATTTTGGGCAGTGTCGGAACATCTGGGGGGTACTTTAGAGGTGGTCATTTTTATATTTTATGGAATATATCTGTTATTTACGTTTGGAGAAGAAAATTCTTCAAATAAAAGTTACTTCTAATATAATTATCTATAATTTTTGTTTTATGCAAAATTTTCCTAAAATGGTCCGTATTCGAGAAATTTGACAAAATGTAAAAAACATAATTTTTTATAAAAATTGTTCAAATAAAAGTTGTTTATAATATAATTCTCTATAATTTTTGTCCAATACATAATTTCTCTAAAATGGACCGTATTCGAGATATTTGAGAAAATGTGTAAATTTCGAAATTTGAAGAAAACTCAAAAACGGATAAAGGAAAAAACATTAAATTTTAAACTTAAGGTTTATTTCGGCCTGACGTGAAATGATTAGATTTTGGACAAAGTTGGAACATCTGGGGGGGTACTTTATGGGAGGCCGTTTTTATATTTTATGGAATATATCTGTTATTTATGTTTGGAGAAGAAAATTGTTCAAATAAAAGTTACTTCTAATATTATTATCTATAATTTTTGTTTTATGTCAAAATTTCCTGAAATGGTCCGTATTCGAGAAATTTGACAAAATGTGCAAAATTATGATTTTTATGAAAATTGTTGAACTAAAAGTTGTTTGCGATATCGATTTCTATAATTTTTGTTTATACATGATTTTTCTAAAATGGTCCGTAATGGAAAAGTGCTAAATTTAAATTTTTCTGTATTTTCGTTTTCAATGAATATCTATAGAAAAATGTTTCGAGGTAGATGTATGTGTAAAATGTATATATTTAGTTTATCCTCTAAACATTTATAGAGATGCTGCAATAGGTTGTACAAAATAACCGGAAAATGCCTATAATAACTAGATAGGAAAGTCATGTGTTGGACACATCAGATTTTTTCATTTTATTATTAAGAATGCATAATATAATTATGTGATATTGCTTTTAAATATTCGTTTATATTTCTCTTTTTATAATCGATTTTTAAAATCCTCTCATCACAATCGCGATATTTTTTTTATTTAGCTGGCGTCTGCTGGTCCAACAGTAATTGTTCATAAAACAAGTCCCTTTCTGTTTGTATCATTTTAAGTGCATCAATAAATTTCTATATCGTTAGATGATCTATGGACATTTCGTTTTGAAGTCGTCTGTGTGCAGCTTCGGCATGATTGTTCGTTCTGTCTGTAACCCCCAAAACGCGGTTGTAGACAGACCACAATGTGATCGGAAAGAGTTGATTGTGCCATTTCGACCCTGTTATTGAGGACGTCTTACGTATGAGTCCTCGAACCATTCTATTGGAGTTTGCATTTCGTTAGACAATTTTCCAAATAAATGGTCGATTGCAATATCTATGACTTCTTTGGGAACAAATGCCAAAAATTTCACCATTCATGCATGAAGACTGAAATCAGGATCGGTATTATATCGACCCAGCAAATTCATTTACGCTAAAAAAACAACCTTTAGCTCTGCATTTGAAAACTCTTCTTTGAAAGCGTTTATGACATCCAGTTCAAAATCGCATGAAATCTTCTCCAGATTTGTATCTGGCTGTAAATGTCCCATCATACCAATAATTTTGGCATAATGCAGTTTGCCGTTTGTTGGGCAGAAGAGCATAAAGAACAAGATGAACTCCTCCAAATTATTTAGCCATAATTATGTAGGTAAAAAATTGAGGCAGTTGGTTTAAATGTCCCATCACCAAACCAATGCTTTGAGTCCTTCAAAATCTGTAAATACAGGGTGTTTCTAAATTCATGCGTCAAAATTCAGGAGGTAATTGCTCGTATGAAATTAAGATGGGTCTTTCCTACAACAAAATTTCCTCAGCCCACGCCTTTCCGAGATATCACCCTTAAAAGGTGGTGACTAAAATCAATTTTAGTCACCACCTTTTAAGGGTGATATCTCGGAAAGGCGTGGGCTGAGGAAATTTTGTTGTATTTTTATTTTTATTTTTTTCTTCTAAAATTTCAGTAAAGATAGAAACTTAAAATTCTGTAATTTTCGTGCACTCGCAAAGGACTAACCTCGGATATTTTTTCAATATTCCTGTTACATTATAGGGGGGGGGGGGGGTGAAATTAACAACCCTTACTTTATTTCATATCAAAATTCGAGATGAAGTTTCATGAAATAAAAGTATAACTTAAAATCCTTGTTTTATTTAAAAAAAAATTTTTATTCCTAAATGTTTTTTCCAAAACCAATAGCTTCAGAAAAAAAAAATAAACACCATAATTTATAATTTTTTTAATAAATTGAGTGGAAAACAGTAAAGATGTAAAATTTAATACGATTTATAATATTGAAAAAATACCCGAGGTTAGTACTTTACGAGTGCACGAAAATTACAAAATTTCAAGTTTCTAGCTTTACTGAAATTTTAGAAAAAAAAATTCTTCTACCACCCTCTTCCAATTGTTCAAACAGTTTCCATGGAAACCGAACCGAAAACTCTCACATATTCCCTAATCAAGTCACTTTTGTCAGGTAAGTTGATGTCTTAATTTTAATGATTAAAATGTCAGGTTATATACAGGGGGAAACAAAAGTATTGTCTTTTTCTTGGCTTTCACTAATAAAAGTGTTTCTTGTTTTGTTATCACTTTTTTAAATGTAAATGAATCATTTAAACACTTATTCTACTTCTTAAAACTATTTACAAGTATTTACAAACTCAATAAAATATGTGTTTTGTTGTCAGGCATAAAGTTTCTCAATTTTCTCTTATTAAGTTGAGTTTATTAATTTAATTTGTTTATTGATCGTTAACCTACATGCTTCTATCTATTTATCATTTTTTTTTCTAATTATTTAATGTTATAAACCTTATTCTTTGTAGATTTCCTGCACTTATTTGGAGAAAACTGTTTCCTGTGGATTTTTTTAACGGCTTCACTGATACTATGATACTACCAGTGAGATCAGTCTTATTTTGTATGCAATATTCTCAAGGACTCATTTACAGGTTGCAAATTACTGTTTTATTTGTACTTCACAAACCTGTTAAAGCAAAATTGTAAGTATTACGTTATTAGTAAAAATTTTTTTTGTATGTATTATTTTATTCATAATTATTCTCATTATTTGAGACTTATTTCGTCTTTTCTTCTGGTTAAACTAATTCATTTGACTAAAAATGAGGCACATTATTTATTAATTATTGTTACTTTCCGGTTTGATATACCAGGTGATTCATAACTTCAATTATTTCTTAATTATACATGATTTTGCGTTAATTTTCTTTAATTTCAACTTATAGATTTTATTGACCGTTACAATATACTGTATTCATTGTGATCTGTTTTTGAAAAGCGTTCACAAATCTCAAAAAAAGTCATACCAAAATTACTAATTATTAATAGTTGAAATGTATCCTGCCTTATTATTATTTTTTGTATCTTTTTGTGTATTATTAATTTTAAAATATTTATATTTATGTTTCATGGCTTAGATTATTATTTATCTATTAGATTTATTATTCTTTGTATGAAATAATATTGTTTTATGTATTTATTTGACTTATAATTGGATTTATTCTGTTGGGCAATAAAGTTTATTATTATTGATAATAATTACATTCATTTTTATAGTTTAAATCTAATTTTTGCGAATAAATTATATATATTCTTCAATTACGTCATTTCTGCACGTTCAAAAATGTTCAAAAAATTTATGTAAGTTTCTTAATCAAATCTAATTTATTTTATGAAATAATTATCTCTCTTGATATTCAAGTTTCTTTATTTTATACTTGTTATACAAATTATACTCAAGACCGTATATACATTTATAAATTTTTTCAAAAATTTTGAACGTTAAGATTTTTTTTTCGGAGTTCCATATAAACCTTAAGTACATACCTTCTAATTAAAGACACAAAATTATTCAACATTCCTCTTGCAGTATCCGTCATTCCGCTAATAAGAAGGCCTTTTATAATCCAATAAGTATCCCAGTAGTAAACTTCTTTAAATCTTCCTCCAGGTATAACAAAACCTTCAGGAAGATAAATAATAGAATGCCTGTCCGGAAATTTATAAACGCTAGTATTTACTTTCCTTGCCAATGTGAGCCAAACAGTGTTCAATTTTTTAGCAAAATCAGCTACAGTAGTATTCTTGATTTTTGTTAAAAATTGTGGATTTTCGGTGTAGTCCGTTGGAGTCCATGGTACAAGTTCTCCTTGAAATTCGAAATTGTTATCAATAAATGATTTAACTTGAGCGTACGAAGGATGATTGCCGGTTTCTTCCATAAGACTTTCGAAATGTTTTAAAGTTACTGATGGAGATTTCCTTTGAGCCAGATCGACAAATGACTTTGAGTCATTGAAAATTTTTGCTCTTTGAATAGTGTCCAAAAGTGATCCTTGGCAGTATATTTTACTATCGCAAGACTCCATAACTTGAGCATTGTAGCGAAGTATTATAAATAAAAGTATGATAACAAGAAAAGAATAAATAATTATTATATAATGTAAGGTAAAAGGTTTCTTGAAAACAATCATTTTCTTCTATGTATAAAATATCCAATAAGAATTACCATTGAGGGGGCTTTAAAAAGTAAAATTATATATGTATATTTTAAATATATGAAAGGAAATACTCTCCAGTTCCAGTTAGTTTTACGTCAGGGTAAAATTCCATTTACTTTCTACTATTTAAAATATAGCTATATTATAAATAATTGCTTTGAAATTAACTATGTTACTTCTTAAGTATATTCACGAGGAAACACTAAAAAAATACTTTCACTTTTATATTATCAAATTAGAGTGACATTAAAATACTACACATCTTTTTTTGACAATTTATAGATAATTTAATTTGTAGAGGGTACTCTTTAGAGCAGGGTTGTTATATCTAAAGGGGTTGCGATTATAAAGACAAGAGATTCATAATTGCGACATAGTCAAGCCTGTCAATATAAAAAAATGTAAACTAAAAGTATTTTTTAGCGAACGGTTTAAAATATTTTCAACTTTTCTAAACCGTTTAAATTTTAGCGATGCCGCTATGATGTCACGCACGAAATATTTTGAACCAGAGCTAAAATGTTTAAACCAGTCAGAGGCAGAGATTAGCACATACTTTAATTCAGAGATTAGGGACATAAAGATTGGAAACGCAACGACCCCAGCAACGATGGCGTCATCTAGCGTCTCAGATGTTAACTACAGATCTACGTCGTTTGTAGAGAGACCAGTGTTTTCAAATATTTTTTTTGAGAGATCGTACGAGTAGAAAAATAGTATTTCGACAAAAAAATTGTACAATAAATACATAATATAACTTAAATGGAATGAAAAAATAAAAAAAACTGGCATGATAATTTATCTATGTTTACAACGCAAAAAAAAACTAAAGAAAATACATGAAACTTTAAATTAACATGAGTAATCAATGACAATCACGTGATAGTCGGTGTACAAAATTACCATGGTCAAAATCACGATAAGAAATTACGAACGGCCTATGAATCTTTGCAAGTAGTTTTTGATTTTTATTGTTTTATGTTCTGAAGTTGTTGCAGATATTTAAATAAACCTACTAAAAAAGTAAAGATCGTATTTTTACATACAATCTCACTGATGCAATCGTACATCGCCATCGTACAGAGAGTTAAACAATCGTATAAATACGATTTAAATCGTACGGTTGGCAACACTGAGACAGACAGTAGACGTGGACAGCAGTGGAAAGTTTGTAAAAATAAATGTCAGTTTTATGTATATCGAAGAATCCTAAATTTAAATTTAAAATTTTGAGTTCATGATTGTGTTGTCCTCTAGATGAACTAAGCGAAATAGTTGTGGCTGTTTTTGTGTGAAATTTAAGGACAGTAATTATATTTTGTAACATTACAATAAGTCGGAGAACGTATTGCATTAGTAACACATGCCACATGAACAAATTTAACAACCCCAATGTGGCTTGAAAATGTTAGAAAGAAGATTTGATGTAGGAAGAAAAATATCTGAATTCCCATTATTGAATTTGCATTCAACCTTTTTAAATAAGATACCAAAATAAGAACAAAAATGCAGTGTTACAAATAACAATCAAAAATTTAAAAATATTTGTCATGAATAAAGATTTACAATAATTAATCGATAATAGACTGTAAGTGTAGTATTCTTTTTAATAAATAATTTATCGTTATTACATTGTTTAAGTTAATTTACAAGAACATGAGAGTGCGTTCGATATTTATGCAACCTTTATTATCAGGATTTTAAATTTCCCGCTGCGTTGTTTGCTATTGATGAAAGCGCCACATAGTGGGTCAGATGATAACTGCGATAAAGCTGGTCGTTGTTAAGCATTGGCTTCTTATGGGCGTTTTCTATCTTTATCTCCCTTATCTCTGGTCAGAGGTATATTGTTCAGTAACGGTTGACACATGAAAGATTCTGATTTTTGGCTGTTGTAAGTTGTTTTGCTCTGTTTCATCATTGATAATTTTTATACGTTTGACGTTCTGTTGAATTTTATTGATATCTTCATAAATTATGTGATTCATATTCGTAGATTATTGATTATTTTTCATCTTTAATTTATTTCGTTCTTTTTTGTAAACATCATATACGGATGCACAATGATATCTATAAGTAACTGATTATGAAACAATGATGCAATGTACATATTTGTAAAAATAATTACGTAGATTGCTTCAGATTCTGAATTTGCTAGTAAATATTTAAAAACAATTAAAAATTCTTTGACACAAGACGTTCTTATTGATGAACTTTAGAAAAGCTTAAAAAATTTATTGCAAAAATCGTCAGACAATTGCGTGTCTGTTGGAGCTACCAAAAATAAAACTGTAGACAACCTAGAAAACACAATTTTTATTTAAAATCGTTGTCAAACATCTTTCTTCATCTGATTTAACAATCATTAAAAAAAGTTTCATTCTTTTTTTAAATCATCGTCGATTTTTTTATTTCAACAACTTTCAACCGTTAATCCATTAAAAGATAACGCGATCAAAATCAGAAAATTTTAAATTTTGTCATAACCTTTGGAAGGTTATATTTTTAAAACACGCCATTTTTGCCACCTATTAATTAATGACGTCACTTGAAATATCCAATCTGGTGTAAGAAACTGCTTATGAGAGGCAGTCATAGCCCTCAGAAAGTCTAGATACCACTTGGCGTATGCTGTCAATACAAAAAAATGACCCCATTCAAGCTTGTCGCCATGTTAGGTAAATTTATGTTTTGGCTACACTGATTTTTAGTTTGTGTGTTCTGTAATACGTGAACACCGATAATCTGCACTTTGTTATTAGTTATAAGTGAGTGAGACGCACAATTTCTAATTTGAAATTAAGAACAAAACTTTGACAAACCTATTTGATTTTCCTAGATCTGTTCAGACAGGACCGGTTTTATAAATTTTCTTGAAATGTTATTTTTACATGGTTATATATATTATTGGATAAGTGTTTTGTGTACATATTGCTATGAGAATTATAGAGAAATTCAGTGAGATTTATATAATATAATTCAAATTACAAGTAAACCATCTGTTCCTGTTTTGTGTACATATTGCTATGAGAATTATAGAAAAAAACAGTGAGATTTATATAATATAATTCAAATTACAAGTAAACCATCTGTTCCTGTTTGGCAATATGGAGAAAATACCTACTTCAATGTCAAATGTACTATTTAAAAGAATGTGATTGTTAACCGGTCATTTATTTATATTATGAAAATAAAAACTCGAATTTTTTAACTAGGGAAAGATATACTTACATCGGTAACGAGGTATTTTTAGAAAAACTAATATATTACTCCTATTCCTATAGTTTATTTGAAAATGAATAATAGCAAAATTATATAAAAATATGGATCTTTGCCATAAAAACTGTGCTACCAAGAGCATTTTCAAATAAACTATAATGATAATTTGATTTAATAGAGCGAGTATAAGATCTCACCTGTTAGAGAAATTGGGGCATAGGGAAGAGATTATGAAGCAGGTAAGCAAAGTCGTTGCAGAAGATAAATATATAGAAGTTATTTTAAAAGTTTGATAAAAAACTAGTGGAACAACAAATGGAGCTGTCGCTATCGGAGATCCAATCAGCAGAAAGTAAAAAAAAACTTTGGGAATATTGGAAAAGGGCACAGCAATAGGCCCAAAATAAATCCTTGGTTTTTTAATAAATATAATCTTGTGAGATGCAAAAAATACTGCTAGAGTGGAGAAGCAGTATTGTTCTAATGTAGAAAACCCAGGGACATACAGCAGTGCACTAACCATAGACGAATAGTCACTAAATTATACAAGAGTCCCATCTCGATTTTATTTTTAAATATTTTTGAGAATACCTATTATTATTTGTTACATTGAATTTAATAAAACCACAGTTTTCGAATGTATTGAAAGTTATTTAAAAAGTACCTCTATAAATATATAGAAAATGTGTATATGACTAACTGGTTTTATTAATCATTTTTTGGGGTAGGTAAATATATTTTGAAAAATTTACAATCTTCTTTTGAATAAAAGACAAAATATTTCTTTTTTATTAACTGAACAATATTTTATACAAACATTATATATACCTATTTAAAAGAAAATATTACATTTTACAAGAATCTCATATTTATATGAAATAACTTACTCAATAAGAAAGAATTAAATGAAACAAATTAATAAACAATGGATATGAAAAATTGCTTTAACAATTTAATACTTAGATAAACTTATTCTTACATATTGCTTTAATCAATTTATTTACTATAGAAGTATATTTCCTATCATTTATTACATGTAATAAAATAAAGCATAAAACATACAAACTATAATATGTACCTACTTAGAACGGAACTAATATTATTGTATCAAGGTAGTAATAGTGGACATTTTCCGAATAAAAAAAAGTAAAAAAGAAGTAACGGTCGACACGTTTTTCTGACTATTGGTCTTCATCAGTACGGTGCAGCCAAGTTCAAAGGATCATGGAACGTGTGTTGGAAAAATTGTACAATAGGTCACTAACAAGGAGCCAATAACACATTTGCCGTTTCAGCTAGTATCCCCAAATTTTCTGAGCTTATAGGTACTAAAGTAACAAAATGATTCAATGGTCTTCCTATGGCTATCAGTTATTCTTTCCTAAAATTTTTTGGTATGCTACAACAAAACACAAATTATTTGATTTTGAAAATATACAAATATTTTTGAAAACTTAAACATGAAATGTTATTCCTTCCTTGTATCTTCTACCGTTGGATGCATTGTTACATTCACGCACAAAACAACAAGAGATTTTCAAAATCCTGTAAAAATTTAACACCAAACCACAAATGTTTTTTATTAAAATAAAACACTAAACGACTAAACTAAAAAATAATGTTTTAAATAAAACCATTACTAGAAGAACAAAATAAACAACACAACAGATAATAAAATCGATTATATACGTCGAACGCCAATCTTACGCTTATTACTAAACTTGTGCCGATTCTGTTTTGTCAGAAGTGCCAACTTAAAATTTATTGACATTTATTTATCATGGCGCCCATTATATGGGGGGTCAAAATGTTTTTACGATGCGGTATCTAGACCTTCTGAGGGCTATGGAGGCAGTTTAAAAAAATTACATAAACGACTAAACCGACAATTCCGGAAGCAGAAGCGGATGATTATAACGCACCTGACATTTTGCTTGCTGGTGTCAGTGAATATTTTTTTTGGAGTCACAGTTTATTGCTAAAGAATCAGTTAGCTCACTCGGACCAGTTAAAAGTTCCAAAATAACATCCACTCCAGAGATACAAATTCAGGATACGCAGAAGACTGCTGTTTTATTATAGGCGGTTGTCATATATTGTATTATTCGAGTTGCGCAGTGTATAAACTAGAACGTTG